AAGGGTATGAATACTTATGCAATGGAATCATTTAAGTTTTTTATTTTTACTAAATTGGCAAATATGTTAAAAACCTGTTTTTTGCTTTATCATTATGGTGTATGGAGTGTAGATTGATGTGGGAAAAAGTAATTTAAAGCAGTTTTACATAAGGCAGCAACATAACAAAATGTGAAAGAAATGAAGGGGTATGAACACTTTCGCAAGGCACTGTACATATGCATATGCATGTAACAAATCCCACAATGACCCTGAACTGAACTAGTAAGAATATGCCTCAACCTCAATAATGCAAGTCTGCATAGATTCCTAAAGCCTTATTTATGATCAACTTTTGTACTACAAGTGTTCCAAACTGCCTAATGTTAGAAATTAGATGCTGAAGTCACTGTGACACTGATTGCACACAGTTAGCCCCTTGAATTTTCCACTTATCTGTTACATGGATTATGGATATGGATTACTTGAAAGAATAGAGTAATAAATTAAACATTTAACGGCATAAACCTGACCACCAGAATAGCTGGCAAATACTAACCACTAATTCAGAGAAACGGGCATGCAGTTCTTCCTCCGGGGGCATGGGGGCACTGAACTCCAGCAGCTGCAGCGGTACACTGTTTTTCAGGTTGATCTCAGGGGGTTCACTGCTGCTGAAGCAGCACATGAAGCCCAGGGTGGGCTGTGTGCGCTTCCGGGGAGGCATCCTCTCCAATCCGGAGGGGCCGACAGCCAGCAAGGCGAAGAGTCTGCTATCTAGGGGGCATGATCTGAAAGAGAGAAAAGAACCAATCAAAAATCACACGCACACACACACACACACACACACACACAAGATGTCTACATAATCATTTATCACAAACTAGATGGTTTTAAATCTACTGAAAAACGTAAAGAGATAGTTCACCCAAAAATAAAAATTGTCATTGTTTACTCACCTTCATGTTGTTCCAAACCTGTATGAATTTCTTCCTTCTGTTGAACACAAAAGATGATATTTTGAAGATTGTTGGTAACCAAACAGTTGCTGTTAGCCATTGACTCCATAGTATTTTTTTCCATACTCACTTTCCATACATGCCAATGGCTACCAGCAACAGAAGACAGAAATTAATACAGGTTTGGAACAACTTGAAGGTTAGGAAATGATGACAGAATTTTCATTTTTGGGTGAACTATCCCTTTAAGACGTATGTCAAGAAATTGAATACATGTGTCGAGCATTCAACCACAGAAATAAAAAGCCAAAAGCAAAGATGAAGCCTCCCATTAACAGTTTTGAATTCTCCCTTTATTTTTATTTTTTATTATTATTATTATTATTTTTATTTTTTAAAAGCTCTCAATACTCCCTGATACAGTGTTCTCTAAACTCATGTACACCACTGATGTTGAATTTAAAGCAGTTTCAAAGCAGTCTAACAGCTTTAATTGCTCAACATCAGAATGGGAACATCAATGAAAGACAGAGGCTGTTGTTCTACAGGCTGAACCCTTCAGCTGTGTGGAGTGGCCATGAAGGAACTGGGTTTTTGAAAAGCAACTGCTCTCATCACTCTCCAGAACTTCTTTGGTCCATGTGGGCATAGAGAATGGAACCGCCTGGCACCTCTCTGGATGTACTGGAATAACCCCCGGGGCACTACAAAGACTTCTCTGTTTTCAGGCTACAATGTTCGTCAATGGCAAAAGAGAAGGAAAGTGAAGGAGGACATGAGTAATCGCCAGAAGAGGCAGCTGTACCCATCACACTCACCGGAACAGAGAAGACACAAAAGGGAAATGAGCCCAGCATTCCTAGACTCCCTGCTCTCACGATTAAGCCCACCATAATCAGAATGGTAGTGGTTTCTAAAATTGTGACAAGGAAATTCAGCCTTGCTTAAATCAAACCCTACAAGTGCAATTACAAGTGTTTGCTACAAAAAAAAGTTAAAGGGGTCATGAACTAAGAAATCAAAATTCCCTTGATCAGTGTCCATCTGTGAAGGACGTAGACTGTCAAACATACACAAGCCAATCACGTTGGGCATTTACTTCCAAGTCTACAATCCACCACGCCTGTTCAAATGGAGCGTTCTGATGAGGGTGGTCAAAAACAGGACAGAAAATAGTCTATTACTTCAAAATTATGATGTTTTTTTGATGTAAAAATCTTGATAACATTATAAGTGGACTTCAGAGAACAGTACAACATAAAAACAGAGGCAGTTCATGACCCCTTTAATATCAAAATAGTATGACATAATATGGTTGCTGGATTTTTGCCAGTCCAAGGTGGTCTGGTAGCTATAACTAGCTTGTCCAAGATGATGTGCCAAGATAAATATCTAATAACTGCTAATCTCACTTACATTGCTAATACTCTATTCACACACATTACCATTGTTTTACTCACTGTTACTTGCTTTAATGGCGGATGTGTGTCTACCTTTGAGTGCAGGTGAGGACACGTTCGAGCTGCATTCGGTGCAGCTCGAGCTGGAAGCCGTGGAGAAGCAGATCCGCGACCTGGTGGAGAGGCAGACCCAGCTGAGAGAGCGGAGAGCCGCACTGGAAACATATCCAGGCTGACGCTCACAAGTCCGGGGTAAGTATACAGCCCTCGATGTTTCTGCGCAGATACCCGCGATCCTGAAGGGTGACGAGAGCCCCGGAGCGGTCGTGCTTCACGCGGGGGCTAACGACACCAAGCTGCGACAGACGGAGACACTGAAGAGAGACTTCTGGAGCCTGATCGAGATGGTGCGCAGCACATCGCCCGCGACGACGATCATCATTTCAGGACCGCTTCCCACGTATCGACGAGGACACAAAAGGTTCAGTAGACTTTTTGCTTTAAATAGTTATTGTCATGGTGTAAAGAACAGAAACTGCTCTTTGTTAATAATTTGAATCTTTTCTGGGAGCGTACTAGGCTTTTTTGCGCTGATGGCCTGCACCCCAGTAGAGTCGGAGCGGAACTCCTTTCGGACAACATCTTCAGGATGCTATGCTCCATATGACTAGTAAGTCAAATCTCAAATGACTGCCCTGATGACTTTTGTTATACCCGCTTAAATGATAGAAGTACTTGCGTTGTACAATCTATAAAGACTGTGTCTGTTCCCCGAATAGTGAGGTCAAAATATAAATGTAATGCAGGATCTAGAAAAAACCTGATCGTGATTAAACCTGAAAAATGCAAAACAAAT